ATATATAAATTGAATTTTGGGAAACTTTAACGGTGCTGCCAACTTTGGAAAAAGTCATCCCAATTTACTGTGTTGACTTGGCATTGTACAGAAATGGACAACCATATTGGTCTAGAAATGTTAATTTATTTTTATTTATTTATTTTTTTTTCCCTGTGTACAGGGGTAATACATCGTACTAAATATGTAAAGTCATATCTACGTGGGTTTGATTACAGAAACTAATAAATTATTCTCTAAATAATGAAAAAAGAATAAGAAAACTATAAGAGCAAGAAGCAATTTAAATATGTTCAGGGACAATTTTCATCTCCAGAATTAAGGATTATTTTGATGTTACATCATTGCCTTTTCTCTTTTACTTTCCTTTTTAGTTTTATTTTAGGATTCCCTATTTTTAATGTTCATACAGAGATTTCTTTAACTGAAATACCGAATAGTTTCTTTGGTGTGAAAAACTATAATAGTACACAGGATCCTAATGAGATAATTAATAATGTGAAATAGGAAGGAAAGGGCTAAAGTGTAAGGAAAGTGGGAAGGGTGGGGGAGAGGTAATAAGGGAGAGGAAAAAAATATGAGAAACTGAAAAAATGGAAATAAAGTGTTTGTAAATGGGGAGGGGAGGAGGGGGGTGAAGGGAGGGCAGGGACAAGGGGAAAAATGAGAATCAAGACCTATTATGTAAAGGTACAGAATCCCAATGATGAATGTAATTGTATTGTATACCTAGATTGTACCAATAACCTCAATAAAAAGAAAAAAAAAAGAAGAAATATATCAACACTCTCAATATGGGCCATGTAAATAGGACAGTGTTGCTTTACTGAAGCAAATAAAATACTTTTCTGACCAAATAAATTGTATCAGTAGTATACAGGGCCCATATAATGGCAAAAAGAAATCATGAATGTTTTGGTTTGAGAATCATAAAAAATGATGACTGTGTACCTACGTATATGGCAAAGTATCAATAATATGATTTCAGACAAAGGATTTCTTAACACAACAAAGGAAATGTTCCCTAAATTATTGCCAAAGTTTAATAAGAACGTCATTGTGGTTTTTAAGCAAATGGAGACAATTTATATTTAACCCTGAAAAACAGACTCCTTAATTTTGATGGTTGAGGGAAGCAAAATCAGTTGAAACCTCAAGATTATTGGCCAGAGAAAGCAGATCTCTTGCACATGTCGGGAGGGGGTGGGAGTGTGTGCATGAGCACCGGTGCATGGCACGCGTGCGCGCACACGCACACACACACACACACACACACACACACATACATATGCACTTACTATTTCCATGGACTTGGTCCAGTTGCTCCACAGAACTCAAAGAAAACAGCTTGTAACCAGCTTTGGTTCCAATTGCTAGGGACCTGTGGAAGATAAGGACATCATGGGAATGACAAGAGGTACTGTATTCTAACCACAGATGTCTAAAAATAGGTACCTCCTTCCCCCTAGTCTCATACAGTGCATGTAAACAATCTCCAGGAGCTTAGATCTTGATAACTTCTTAAATGGTGGAAGCATGCCTTGGCAGATACAGTAAAAGGAAAAAACAAACAAGAAAAGAAAAGGACAGAAATTGCATGGCTGCGGAATTAAGCAAGATGTCAGACCTACCAGAGGTGGTGTTTTCCCACATGGGCAGGTATAGGAAAATGGAGCGTTTAAGAATATTCATAATAGCTCCATCCACAACGCTAGTAGGTATCTGAGAAGCACTTTATCAAGAGGTAAATTATTTTTTCTTTTCTTAATGATTGTTTTTTATTTTAAAAAAAGACACATAGCAGGCATAGTAGGTGATTTGTGGGCAAAAATTTAAAAGATGTTTCCTTTTATTTGTTCCCAAGAAAGGATCACAGATAATTTATAGACTTTACAAACTCAATTGGGAAGTTTAATTGGATTCTTTTCAAGCTCTCTCATTCACAGCCCCGGCTGAAAACTTTGCTGTATGCTACTGTCACAACCAACGCATAAAATAAAAACGAAGTATTTACTTGGGTTAATGTGGGTTACAAAGCAAAACAAAACAAACCCATCTTCCGTAGTTTTTCCCTTTTTAAAGAGGCAAGGGTATGAATCCGATTTTCCTTGGCCCTGTGATGAAAGTGAACTTGTCAACTTGGTTTAGCAGCTGGGAATCCCCACCCAGCTCTCCCTGGCTTTTTGCGCTCAGCACCTAAGTAATGACCAGAACCTTGCATGAAACCCACTCCCAATAAGCAGTCTGACCCTGAGCACCTCCACCCTGTGAAAATGGGACTTGAGTTGAATGGACCTTAAAATGGTTTGGTCTTAACTTCCTCACTTACAGAGAATATACGCAAAGGTGAGCTGCGTGCTTCCCAGGGGAGCATATACTAAAATAAGTGACTCACAAGCCTGGATGCCAAGGCTCTGGTTTCACCAACCTAAAACATGATGACCACGTGATTGTTTTCCCTAGAATTTTTTTTCAACCCAAATATTTGTTCTTTCCTGAGACAGGGACAGAAAGTTATAGTCTCTCAGCCTTCCATCCTGCTGAAAAGCTAAACCTGTGTGGACAGATTTGCATAACAGTAATAGCGCAGTCAGAAGTAGGATTTGGTGTCCAGAGTCTCAGACAAACAGCAACCCTATAAGCCAGGAGCATCTAATTACCTTAAAATATACTCTGCAGTGATCAGTGTTTTAAAATTTTCTTCCTATGAGCTTTTTCATATATACAGACACATTTAATTGTAAACAGGTTTGTAAAGCTTGCAAGCAGGGACAGAAGTGCTTTGCTTTGTTTTGCTTTGGGTGATTTTTTTCTTTTGTTAAGACAGGGTCAGGTTATGTTACTCAGATGGGTCTCAACTTCGTAGGTTCGAATGCTTTTCCTACCTCAACCTTCAAAGTAGCAGGGACTACAGTCACGTGCCAGCATGGGTGGCTCAGAAGAAACAGACACACACACACACACACACACACACATGTGGCCAAGTGATCACTCTTACGTTTTCAATGATTTCTCAAGGGACACAAAAGACTTGGAATCAAGGGATTCAGATTTATATCTTATTTTATCCATAAGACTTTTCTACAGAAACAAAATTTTTATGGCTCAGGAGAAAAGAGTTTGGGACATATCACTAATTAAATTTAAAATGTACCCAAACTGTCTAGCATAGCATCAGGCACAGAATGTGAATATAGAGCTCTGGTAAAGATTAGTTGCTAAGCACAAAGTATAAACGTAGGACATTGGTAACGATTGGTTCTCTTTACTAGCCTTCTCTAGAAATACATACTGGACCCCTGACTCAGCCTACATCCACCAAAAAAGACACAGATTCACCTAAAAGCATTCATTAATGGTCTTGACATTTTGAAATCCAATGTCATATCCTCTGTGGCTCAAAGCAACTGACTGTGACAAGAACTTTTATTTATAGGCGAGAGAGCTGCCCAACAGAGCCTTCATCCAAGGAAACAGAACTGACCAGAGGGACAAAGGAAAGTAACTTTCAAAGCACCCTACAGTTTTGAAAATAACATTCTTATCCACTTGCTATAGGAAGCTGGTCTTTCTATTATTTTATAACTAGAATTTTTTAAAAAATCATCATTTTTTCCAAATCTAATGTCACAAAGCAGAATTCAGAATATTTACTATTTATAAGCAAACCAATTCACCTGCTTAACCTGTGATCAATTGGGAAGGAAAACATCATGCAGGCATTTCAACAGATATATCCTCTTGCAAAATGTTTCTTTCAAAACTGCCGAATTTTATCTGTGCTATCATGTGAGTGTCACCTAAGAGCAGATGCTAAACACAATTTAGTAGGTGGTAAGTAGTCTTGGGGAGGGGGATATGGAAAATATCAAGGGGTGTTACGCATAAACATTTTGTGGATATTACATGTATACGAATATTGGGAGATGTTGTAATATATACTTTTTATTGTGGGTAGTGGTTAAAAAAACACAAAAAACTTAAAAGTCACTCATATAACCAAGCTGTGGAGCTATTGGATTACATGATTACACATACGTTTTTTTCCGCCTAAACAAAGGCAGATTGTTCAGTGTTTTCAAACAGAAACACAAAGGGAATGGAAGCCAGGGCTGCTTTATGGTACACGCAGGCCTTAATTACACCACCGAATGTTAATATTAGCATAGCTCAATTACTAGCAGTCAAGGCACAGGGCTGACTCCAGACTCCAAACAAGGGACAGGACAGAAACTGGCACAGCAGGAAGTGAAAAGCTGGGAAGTGGTCATCCAGGCCAGAGCTGCCCGATGCCCCCGGGGCACATTCCAAAGAGATTATTCCGTAGGGTCCCTAGGGTTCACTTCCACGAACAGAAGGAAAGAAAACAGGCATTTGCTTGGAAGACAATCCTGCGGGCGCCTGGAACACAGTTCAGCAATTCCCAGCTCTTTGACCAAAGTCCAGATGTGAAAATCAAAGTGAAACATTAAAAAAATCCACTCAAAAGCAACAGGGTGGAGCTCCTGTTCCCTGAAGGGGAAAGCAACCTGGGCCTAGACGGGGCTCCCGGATCCTAGAAGGAGATTCAGTGTGATGAGGTGGGTGATGTGACAGCACGGTGCGAGAAATCCCGATTTCTGACATCGCCCGGTCTGGGCTGCCGGGCTCCGGGATAGGCTGCCGCTCTGTCCCAGGCCCTGCCCAGATGCCACGTTGAGATGCTCAAGGACAAATGGGAAAGTTTTCCTGCACTCCCGTCCTCCCGGGCCCTAGCTGCGCCCCCTGGGTCTCCTCGCGACCCCCCTGCCCGCCGCTTCCTCCGTTCCGGCCGCCACCCCTCCTGGCTCGACCTCGGCTCTGTCGCGAATTTTCCCAGCGCCCGGTCCCC